ACATTCAACCGGCAGCTGCACGAGCACCGCGGGAGCATACCAATGGCCAGCTCCTTTTGCGCCCAAGGTTAGAAAGAAAACCGTGTCCCCCAAAACAGGCGTGTGATGTCACCCTGCCTCCAAGATTTTTTATTTTATTTTTTATTACTTGGGGGGGGCTTCAGGGGAAATAGGGGACCCTGATATTTCCCTTTAAAATAGAAAAAGAAATTGAGGACACAAAGTCCTCAATCTCTTTTTCTGCAGCCTCTGTTCTAAATGAATGGAAAGCACATAGGCTTCCCATTCATTCAGAAAATATTTTACTATCATCCAGTTTCTGGAGGGGGAGGAGCCTCTGTAGTGAGTCCTTCTCCCCATTGAGAAACTCATGAATGAACAGGAAGTGGTGTAATCACTATCATATCAGTATCATATATAACTGGGGACACATAGTACTATGTGTCCCCAGTTATTTACAAACACTGGAGTGATCAGCTGATCGCTCCAGTGTTTGTCCTGCACAGAGGATCGATACATATCACTGATATGTACCGATCCTCTGCCACGCACAGAGGGGCTCAGCTACTCCTCTGGATCCGCGCTGCTCTCCCGGGCAGAGGCAGCGGTGGATATGAGAAGTGCAAGAAGCGCTGCAGCCGCGGGGGGCGGAGCCGCTGTCACAGAACTAAGGCGAGCGATGAGGGGAGAGAGATGGCGAGCGTCTCTCTCCTCAACGCTCGGACTTAGTTCTGTAACAGCGGCTCCGTCCTCTGCCGCGGGCTGCAGAGCTTCTTTCACTTTTCGGATCCCCGCTGCATACAGATGGGGGAGAGCAGCGGGGATCCAGAGAAGTACCACGGGCGGGAGGAGAGGCCATCGCGATCTACCACTGATTGCTACGCGATCGACTGGTAGATCGCAATCGACCTTATGGGCACCCTTGCTGTAGTACTTCTGACAGCAGAAGTAAAAGGTGATAAATGTGTTAGCGTGAGTAAACTCTGGAAACGTAGTTCCTGCCTTATCACAGTGAAGTGAGAAGTCCCCATTCACACATAGGCGTACCGTGGAGGCACGCCGTGGTCCTGTGCGTTTGTGTTAGTTTTCTTTTCACGTTTGTCACGCATCCCAATGGATTTCAATGGGTTACAGTACACACGACAAAACGCAGAAAGGAAGCTGTAGATAAATGTAGATAATTCCTCCACCCGCATCCTGTGTTTTTTTTTTTAATGGAAATCATTGTCAACGATTTCCATCATCGATTAATTGGTCATTCAATTAGTTGCCCTGCTCGCAGCTCCATGCACGCTTCTTTTTATTCCTCTGTAGCGGGTGATATTCTGCATTGCGCTGTATAATGTATTGCTGGAATTTTTAGTCCTCTATAGCTGGTGGTATTCTGCTTTGCGCTGTATAATGTATTGCTGGGATTTGTAGTCCTCCGACAAGTGCTGCCCACCTGTGAGAAGTTCTGATGTTTACACCCCTTTGGAGGATGAACTTTTGGCGTCAGTGACTTTGTTGTTAGTATATATGCTTTATATGTCTGGCCTGTTCACACCAGCTGCAGACCAGTGTGTTTTTTATCTGCACCAAAAACGTATACAGAGTAATTCCAATATTTTTAAGTGAGGCTACTTAACACCATTGCATTCAGTTCCAGGAATGTTTAAAAAAGAATACAGCAGCATGGATTTTTTTTCACACCCTTGCCCTTAAAACCCAAGCAAAACCAATAAAAAAAAAAAAAACAGTATGGGAACGCATCAAATACGCACATAAATGCATATGTGGAAATGCATCCAGATCTGGTCTGGAGATGATGTGAACAAGCCCAAGAAACGAGATTAGGTATTACTAATCACTGTAATTGGTATTGGAGAGGTTTGCCCCACCAACAGCTTCTAAGTGCTGTATGTGTGTGTCCAGCTAAGTAGGGCTACTAGCCTGTGGATTGCATCCACCACTCAAAATGAACCACTGCTATCTTTGCAGATTTTTTTAAATAAAATGTCCTCTGTTCTAGCTTATCACAAGATCAGACACTAAAACCAGAGGACCATTTTTGAGACCAAAGGGAGAGTGACAGGAGTTTGGTGGCTGAGGTATCATTGTCAATAGTGTTGAAGAAAGGTTCACATGAGAGAGAAGATAAATGTTTTCAGCAATCTTTATTTATATAGCCAGCATACAAACTAGTGTTCTAACAAAAGACAGAAAGCAAGTCTTAAGTCACATTTGAGATGGACCCTTAATATACATTTGTGAGCAAATATACATTTGTGAGCAGACATCATCCAATTAACACATACTGTATCTTAAGATTACAAAAATAAAAATACTTTTGTCATTTCAGAGCATTTCTTCCATTTAATAAGCACAGATGTATATGATGTAAAGCCACTTGTATCAAAAGTCTTATCAAGTTGACATGCATGTTCAATAACAAGTGAAACTACTTATGTTGTTGGTTTAACCACAGCTCCAAAACACAAGATATACTGTATATCTCAATAATTTTTGCATGTGCGCTGGCACAGGAGGGAATGATGTTCTGGCCCCATTATATATTAGTTTCATAAATATTGCATCTTCTCAAACGGATGAGGAATGGGGAGGCATCTTCATTTTAAATTGTGAATGTTCATTGGTTACCTTTTCTGTTATATTGGGTTGGGGGCACAGATTTGTGTAACTTCCTTACAAGCGAATTATTTCAGAGTCGTCATAAACCAAGTTCAAGAGATAAGATAAACAGAACCCGTCGAGGACACCTGTTTCTCTGCTTAGAGCATTTTTTGCAATATATGGATATGGGATTTAGGTCCTATGAACAGTATCCTAAACTTTTATAATGTATACACTATATTGCCAAAAGTATTGGAACACGCCTCCTAATCATTGGATTCAGGTGTTCCAATCACCTCCATGGCCACAGGTGTATAAAATCAAGCACCTAGGCATGCAGACTGCTTCTACAAACATTTGTGAAAGAATGGATAGCTCTCAGGAGCTCAGTGAATTCAAGCGTGGTACCGTGATAGGTTGCCACCTGTGCAATAAGTCCATCCGTGAAATTTCCTTGCTACTAAATATTCCACGGTCAACTGTTAGTGGTATTATAACAAAGTGGAAGCAACTGGGAACAACAGCAACTCAGCCATGAAGTGGTAGGCCACGTAAAATGACAGAGCGGGGTCAGCGCATGCTGACGTGCGCATAAGTCACCACTGTCTGTAGAGTCATTAGCTACCGACTTCCAAACTTCGTGTGGCCATCAGATTGGCACAACAGTGCGTAGAGAGCTTCATGGAATGGGTTTCCATGGCTGAGCAGCTGCATCCAAGCCTTACATCACCAAGTGCAATGCAAAGCAGTGGTGTAAAGCACGCTCCCACTGGACTCTAGAGAAGTGGAGACGTGTTCTCTTGACTGACGAATCACCCTTCTCTGTCTGGCAATCCAATGGATGTGTCTGGGTTTAGCGGTTGCCAGGAGACCAGTACATGCGTGACTGCATTGTGCCAAGTGTAAAGTTTGCTGGAGGGGGGGATTATGGTGTGGGGTTGTTTTTCAGGGGTTGGGCTTGGCTCCTTGGTTCCAGTGAAGGGAACTCCTAAGGCATCAGCATACCTATAAGACATTTTGGACAATTTCATGCTCCCAACTTTGTGGGAAAAGTTTGGGGATGGCACCTTCCTGTTCCAACATGACTGCGCACCAGTGCACAAAGCAAGGTCCATAAAGACATGGATAAGTGAGTTTGGGGTGGAGGAACTTGACTGGCCTGCACAGAGTCCTGACCTCAACCCGATAGAACACCTCTGGCATGAATTAGAGCGGAGACTGCAAGCCAGGCCTTCTTGTCCAACATCAGTACCTGACCTCACAAATGTGCTTCTGGAAGAATGGTCAAACCTTGTGGACAGCCTTCCCAGAAAAGTTGAAGCTGTTATAGATGCCAAGGGTGGGCCCACTCAATATTGAACCCTACAGATTAAGACTGGGATGCCATTAAAGTTCATGTGCGTGTAAGGGCAGGCGTTCCAATACTTTTACTAATAGTATTTACTATTATAAGAATTAAATACATTTTAATATATGAATGATTGTCAATAGTAGATGTAATAAAGATGTAAAGAATATAACA